AAGATTTTTTTTTTTTTTTTAACCCAAACCAACTATGCTTTTGTCTTTCTTGTCCTTGTTTTGTTGAGACAAATTTTGAAGGGCTAGCTGCTGACAAGAGATACCAAAAAATGGTTTAAAAATTTAGCAGGCTGTATATGTGCATATGGGTACACTGTTGGTATATATATGTTTATAGGTATATATAACATTGTATTGTATTGGTACACTGACTGACTGAAGCTGTTCAATAGCAAGATATGAAATGAGTCTTGTCAAACAGCAGTGTCTTGTCACCACTCAGGACTATGATATGGGCCGTTACTTCAACCCTGTTTCAACCGTTTGAAAGCAAATCTCTGGAAATGTCAGGCCATCAGACTAAAAGATGGGAATCAGTAATTTTTATGTTCATTTCCATGATTGAACTGTAGTTCTTTCTGGCTGAGTCTTGCCATTTATCATGCTGTTTGCAACAGGAAAATGTGTTTTAAGGAGCCAGAAGCATAATCTCCTACCATGCAAAGCATTGATTAGATAAAACAATTCATGCCCTACCATGAGCCAACAGCCACGTGACTGTAATTTCAGCTTGCAGTCTGTTGTTGTCATTGTGAGTTTGTGGAATTTCAAGATCTAAACAATCTCTCATTTCAGTAGTTTTATTATAGATTATAGAGAAACATCAATAAGAGAGAAACGTAGAGTTTAATAACCCGGCACCAACCAAAGAAAACATGGTTCAGCAAGGCTTTTAGCTATGAGGATCCTTAAAGAGGTTTGAAGCGCATTCTCATGTGGTTTTGGGCTGCCAGCACAATTAAAGAAGGTCTTTGGAGTATTAATTGGAAATGTTGAGTTACAAAGGTGTTTCTTTGAATATTTTCTTTTTTTTCATTTCTAGAAAATTTACTCCAGCCTGACAAGCTTGCTTTGTCAGGAATTCCTGTCTTTGATGATACAATCAGAGAATGGTTTGGGTTGGAAGGGACCTTAAAGATCATCCAGTTCCAACCCCCCTGCCATGGGCAGGGACACCTTCCACTAGACCAGGTTGCTCAAAGCCTCATCCAGCCTGGCCTTGAAGACATCCAGGGATGGGGCATACAGTGAGCATTTGGTAAATACATAGTTTTTTATTGCTGTTTATGACAAAGGTATTTGCTGGCTCACTGCAATATCATTCTTTGCATTCAATCTGCTGTATAACCCAAGAGGCAGCAAAACTATAATCAAAATTTTTTTCTAAGGGCAAATTATGTGCATTCTTTCTAGCTAAAAGCTCTTGGCTGTACTGTGAAAGGCCAGACTCACACAGTCCAAAGTCTCCCTAAGTCTCCAGAGCAGTGTCTTGGTCTTTGCCAGCTCTAGGCAGACTGATTTTGGCCCCATGTCATCACCGAAGAGCTGCCCTTGCGCACTGCTGCCTGCACACAGGTTTTCAGGTGGAATTTAGGACATTTTATAACACTGGGAGCAGAGTCTGAGTTTCCAGTCTGACATGGAAAATAACTCTCTGGAAAATAATCAAGCACATCTTCTATAAAAAATGAAGAGATTAAATTTTGCCCTCAAATATTGGCATTGACTTCTCATCTTGTCTCTTGCTGTAATGACATCTCAGGGCTGAGGATGGGTGCAAATGCCAGAGACAGGTGACTAGTATGATCAAGTACCTAGTCATGTTGCTTTCTAGGCTTTTAAAATGGGGGTGGGAAAATACGTAGAAAAGAGTATTCTTTGTTGCCTTTATTTATTGTTGTTTGTAGATAGAGGTAGTTTGAGTTAAGCACCCAAAAAGTTATTTGGGCAAGTTGCTCTATTTGTGACAGTTTAGACTTCCTGTGGCATGTTTATCAAAACTCCTAGGGGCCTCAGACTAACCATGATACATTTATGTGGCACTTATCAGTGATGTATTTATTGCCATTATTATTCGCCCATACATTTGGAAACTTACTGTACGTGTCTCTACATTGCATTTTAACTGAAATACAAAAACACTGTGGGATTTCCCTGTCATGCCTCTTATTTCAAATGTTTTATTCCACAAACACTGTGAGAAGGGTAGATCATCTCTGACTTAACGGTGACCCAGTTCTCCACTCTTTCTTGTCTGCAACACACCAATATCAGTGGAGTTACAGTGACATAAACCAGAATAATTCAGTCAAAAATCAGATCCTTCCTACACCAAATCACTTTCCACATCTGCTTCCTATTTGTCTTATAATGACACATGGGATTATCTTGGGAATATATTCTGCTTTAACTGTCATGCCACTGACTTTATAGCCTTATCAAATATCCATTGGTGTGCAGGTTGAACAATTGTCATCTACTAAGAAGAAATCCCAAGAAAACGTAGATTGATAATAACATTCAATAATAGCTTGTAGCATTAGTGCCATTTTCTATTATTGTAGTTGAGGTCTAACATTCTCCTCAATTTACTGTTTTTATTTATTGTGCAAGTTCTAGATATGGACCCTACAGCAGAATTTCAAAAACAGTTTTCCTTTTCATTATTTATTCATTTTTGGTTAGAAGGAACAAAGTCAGAAAATTGGATAGAAACGAGGAATGTGTCTGGACTATTAAGAAATAGAAAGAAAGGCAAAGAAATTTAATACTGTGCAAGATACTACAGATAACAGGATGACTGTATAAACATAATCGGGCAGGCTACATCTACAATGACATGCCTTAGGAGACTGAGCTTGAATTCTGGGATCAAACTTCATGAAGTTGTGTCCAAACTTTTTGTCTTGCAGTAAGTAAGCCCCTCCAGATAGACCATTCTCCTAACAGTTCATTTTCCCTTCACCTTTTTCTCTAGTAAATGGAGTGAAATGTGAAGTCCTTCTGATGTTTCTTTGAAAATATGTAATACATGAACAGAGATACATGCTTTCATAGTGTAATTAAACAGGCCTGTAATAAAAACTGCAGCCTGTGACCCACTTACAGAAACAGGTACTCAGTAGGTTTAAAATAGTGCCATTTGAAAACATGTTTGGTCACTGGCCTGGCCCATGCCTGGATTCAGTATGGATGAGCATGATGGGGAAGGAAGGGTGCCAGGGAGAGCGCTGCTTCCAAATGCTTGAATTCACTGCTCATGAGAAAGACATCAGCTATTTATCTGAATGATCTTTACATAAAAAAACCCCAAACCATTACCAAAGCAATTGCTGAATAAAATTTGAGTTGTTGATATTTTTTTTTGCATCCTTCACAGCACTGTGAAGTGCCAAGTCTCCAGCACTGGACTGTTGCCCTTGAGGGTGAAAGTATTGTGCACAATTTTGAGACTTGGGAGCACAGGACAATATAAAACTCTGGGTTAGGTTCTAGCCTGAGACTTAGTCTGGAGAAATGAAGCTGAACAGACAGCTTAGGAACAGCCTACAACTGCTCGAAGGGTGGTTAAAATGGATGCTTTTACCATCTATTTGCATCTTTGCAGATAATACAGTAAATATATATATATATATATATAAACTTTCTAAGTTGTTTCTTGGAATGTTCAGTTTAAAAAAAAAAAATCTTCACTAAAATGGCAATAGCAGTTGCCCAGAAAGGTTATAAAATTTCCGTTCCTGAAGGTTTGCATGACTTGGCAAGGCAAAACCAAGTCTGACCATACCCTGTGTTAACAACAGTCTTCTTTCGTGTCCTCCTGGATTTTGTATCTAGAGAGCCCTTCCAGCCAGCAGTTCTATGATTTTGTGGAAAATGATGATGAGAATAAGAAAGGGGGGCTTAAGATAGTCTGTAGCAGCAGGAAGTGCTTGAGAATTGAGATAAAAAGCTGATCTGTTATGAAATAAATAGGGAAAAATATTGTAACATATTCTTACTTGCTTCCTACTATCAACACATAATTTAGGCATAAATATTCTGATATTTGATTTTGTTTGTTTCCTTAAAACAGATGACTAATCTCTGATTAGTTAGTAAGAAAAAAACCAAGAAGCTGTATCAAGCTGTAGCCTGAGCTACTTGGTCCTGCAAATATTGGTTAAAGGAAGTCCTTCAGCATCTACCTCATAGAGAATGTTTAGGTATAATCAAGTGATAACTGGGTGCAAAGTCTAAGTAACCAAAGAAACTGTTGGGGGGTAGAGGTTGTCCCAGCTTTGGGGCTCTTTGACTCAGTTAGGTGTGAATGAAAAGTAACAACAGTGCAGGCGGGAAATTTCAGTTTTCGATGTGACCTCCACAAGTGTTCTGTCGAAGCAGAAGTCTACTGTGCAAAAAGCACCTATTCTTCTGGTTTTACCCTCAGTGAAAAATGCAGCATAAACACACTATCCAAATTGATTGGCTGATTTGGTTCTCCATTTAAAATCAGAGTAATTAAATGTACTGAAAAGCCCATTGCTTTGGATTTACTGACCTTGATTTGAGTTAGTGTTGACTGAGGCCCTTTTTCATCTTGGTTTATATCCCCATATGCTTTGCTCTCAGTGTGTATTTTTTAAAAGTTTCATTGCATAGTACTGAAAAATTTAAAAAAGCTCTCCTGATGCAGTTAAAATTGCATTTGAGAATGCATGAACAGTAAGTCACTAAATACTCAGGTTAGGAAAAGCAGAATTTAGCATTGTATTACATACTAATCTACATTTGCAGGATATTTCAGAAAAGTATAATCAATGAAAAATAAGTTATGCCTTTTTTCAGACAAAACTTTCAAATTCCAGCTTCTTTATTGCTCAGACATATTTTCAGTGAAAGCACAAGAATTCAATGAAAAGCTTGTAAATTATATTTGAAGTGGAATAGACGAGACACAAGCTGTGCACGTGTATTTGTACTTTTGACTAGCCTTCAGCACAATACTGATTAGAAAGCGAGCACTTTTGCCAGATCCTCACCTCGTGTGATTTAACTTCTCTGAAGCCACAAAACCCAGTATGAATCATACATAGTGCAATCTATTTAGTTCAACTTATTCTTAGTGTTCTTTCATTAATGTTGCTTTTTCTTTTTTCTTCTTTTTTTCTCCCCCACAGGACAACATTTTTAGAATGGAAGATTCACATTTTGAAAATGGCCGTGGGAAAAGCCCTTACGATCCTAAACTGGTGACAGCTTCTCTTTTAGTAGGTAGGTGCCACAACACAAGTTCAAGAAGATGTGTATTCACTGTGAATAATTGCCAGGTTTCTGATTTTTTTCTCCTTACAGCACCTATGATAGGGCTTTGGTTTATGCATTTTATTTCTAGACTAATTCATTCTGGTTACATTTTCAATACAGGTGACCCAGATGTCTTGAGAAACAAGGTGTGTGTAAACTAAGAATTAACTATCACAATAGCTGCTGTATACCTCTCTTAAGACCTTGATTATGTAAAGTGTTTCTGTTTCCCCAGAGCTAGGTAACTCTGGAGGTATTTTAATTGCCCAGTTTACAGGCTGGCCTCACCGATGGTCACACCAGCACAGCTGAGAAAAAAAGTAAGAACAGGAATAATTTCTTTCTTACATCCGTTTTTCTGCCAGGGAAGGTCTGTCACCCAGCTGTACCTGTGAGCTGGAGATATACAAACATTCACAGGTCTAGGCCTTAAGATGACATTTCATCTGAAGAGATCTATTTGACAGTAAATACAATTGAACTCCTGGCCAGAACAGAGGGATTTCCATAAATTATTTCCAAATTAGTAATACTTAATTTCATGGAATATGTAAGTATAGAGTACCTGGACTGTGTTAATCTAATTGAACTAATCCAATTGATTGAATTTATCTAATTGATTTAATTTGTCTAATCAAATTAATTGTGTTCATTGTTCTTCCTTTTCCTTTACAAAAAAGGCAAAAAGATGTTTTGTGAGAAGAAATTAAGAGTGAAACAAATTAGATTATTATTTCCATAATGACTCTGCCCAATTTTAGCCACATTATGCTTAATGTGTAACTTTCTGGTGATTTATTACAACTTCACATCTAAGGGGGCAACAGTAATTTCAGAAGATTGCAGATTCTTTTATCTCAGAAGTCTTTGGGAAATGACATATAACTAGATACATTGGTTTCTTCAGGACTTTTTCCATATTGCTAGTCTAGGGTCTTGCCTACCATCTATGCTTATTATATTTTCATTACTTTTAAAAATTAAGCTATTTGAAGTAGACAGAAACAAAAACTTAGTCTTGAGTGTGCCTAATTTCCAGATCTTCGAAGCCCCTAATGATCACAAGTGATGAGCTACCCTGGGGGCATGCACTTTTTAACAGGAAAAACAAGAAAGACATCCACATCTTGCTCCAACTTGTACCCTGTACAAACAGAAAGGGAAAAAAAAGTGTGTGTAAAAGGCCAGTGTATAAATTAGTGCCTGGAGCAACTTGAATTTGTGACAGAGCTACTCTCAAGGGAATGGCTTTACTATTTACTTTAATATACAATAAAGAAAGAGAATGATGACAAGCCAGTATTACATGGTATACCCGGTATGTGCTGCACAAAGTCAACGATGTCTAGCTTTTCACATTCCTTTTTTTTTTTCACTCAGTCTGGCACAAATATGATTATCTTATTTCCCTTGGCTTAGATTTCATGTCTTTAAAACATCTTTTATTTCTTAAGCCCACTCCCTATCACTGTAATTTTCACTCTATGTACTTCTCCTCCTAATAAACATAGAATGGACATGATACTTTAGAATCATAGAATCACAGAATCATTTAAATTTGAAAAGACCTTTAAGATCAGCAAGTCCAGCCATTAACCCAGCACTGCCAAGTCCACAACTAAACCATGTCCCTAAGCACCACATCTACACCACATCTTCTAGATATCTCTAGGGATGGTGACTCAACCAGTCCCCTGGGAAGCCTGTTTTAATACTTGACAGCCCTTTTGGTGGAGAAATTTTTCTATTACCTAAATCTCAACCTTCCCTGATGCAATTTCAGGCCATTTCCTCTTGTCCTATCACTTGTTACTTGGCAGCAGAGACCAACCCCCCACCCCTCTGCAACCTCCTTTCAGGTAGTTGTAGAGAGCAATAAGTTCTCCCTTGAGCCTCCTCTTCTCCAGGCTGAACACCCCCAGCTCCCTCAGCTGCTCCTCACAGAACTTGTGCTCCAGACCCTTCCTCAGCTCCGTTCCCTTCTCTGGACACGCTCCAGCCCCTCAGTGTCTTTCTTGAAGTGAGGGGCCCAAAACTTACTCCAGGATTCGAGGTGCGGCCTCATAAGTGCCCAGTACAGGGGGACAATCCCTGCCCTGGTCCTGCTGGCCACACTGTTCCTGCTGCAGGCCAGGATGCCATTGGCTTTCTGGGCCACCTGGGCACACTGCTGGCTCATATCCAGCTGGCTGTCGACCAACACCCCCACATACTTTAGCTTTCCAGCCACTCGTCCCTAAGTCTGTAGTGTTGTGTGGGGTTGTTGTGACCCAAGTGCAGGACCCAGCACTAGGTCTTGTTAAACCTCATAAAATTGGCCGTCCATCGATCCAGCCTGTCCAGATCCCTCTGTAGAGCCTTCCTACCCTCAGGCAGATCAACACTTCCACCTAACTTGGTGTCATCTGCAGACTTACTGAGGGTGCTCTCAATCCCCTTGTCCAGGTCACCGATAAAGATATTAAAGAAAACTGACACCAGTACTGTGCCCTGAGGAACACCATGTTGACCGACCGCCAACAGGATTTAATTCCATTTGCCACAATTCTTTGAGCCCAACCATCCAGTAGTTTTTTTACCCAGTGAAGGGTATGTCCATCCCAGCCATAAGCAGCCAGTTTGCACAGCAAAATGGTGTCAAAGGCTTTACTGATTTCTAGGTAGACACTATCCACAGCCTTTCCCATCTAAGTGAGTCACCTCTACATAAACGGGTCACCTTGTCATAGAAGATGAGGTTAGTCAGGCAGGACCTGCCTTTCATAAACCCATGCTGACTGGGCCTGATCACCTGGTTGTCCTTTATGTGCCATGTGACGATACTCAAGCTGATCTTCCCCTGCACCAAGGTCAGACTGACAGGCCTGTTGTTCCCTGGATCCCCTTCTGGCCCTTCTTGTAGATGGGTGTCACATTTGCTAACCTCCAGTCAACTGGGACCTCTCCAGTTAGCCAGTAATGCTGATAAATGATTGAAAGTGGCTCGTTGAACACTTCCACCATCTCTCTTCGTTTTGTTTTTAATCGGGTTCAATTACAGCCATGGGTGTATTAACACTATAGAAGATGGCACAAATTCAACATTTAAAGCGAGTGACTAATTTCTACTTTAGTGACTTATACAAAACTCAGGATGAAGCTAAAATTAACATTCCTGCATCCTGAACATGAACACCCTTTCCTCTCTGCCTCCTCATAGCTTCCTCACAGTCATACTGTGTTACTGATTATAATGCTGCTTCTACTTCAGTCCTTTACTGCAGAGGTTCTCTTGGTATTTCAGAAAGTGTAGACCAGATTCACCAAAGATTTTCAATGACTTACTCTTATCTTTGCCAAAATACCTGTAAATTTTATGGTAAAATGATGACCCACGGCAAAATAATTTCCTTCCCCAAAATAGTTGAGGAATGGGGATTGAACTGGCCAACCAATGACTGCATTGAGAGGTTTGGTCTGACTGCACTCTGAAGGAGATAACACCGAAGTGAAGCAGTGAATAGGTTCATGAAGGCCAGAGGAGGCTCTTGACACAAATGCTTCACACTTAGAACCTTCTTCCCTTCTCCTGAGATGAATGATACTCCTGGCCCCTAGTGTGCCAGAAGTATTTGTCCTCACAAGCAGCCATGGTTTATCTTAGGTTCAAGAGGCCAACTGTGTAAAGCAGTTACCTAGCACTCAAAAAATGCAATGTTATAATTAGTAACACAATGTGTCTATCGGGAAGACAAAAGAAGGCTGAGAAGTGAGAGTAATTTATAGTTAAATGCAGGAGAGAAACATTACTTCTGTTATTCATCAGAAACACTAAGAGATTTTGCAAAGTATGGAAGAAAAATATATTCTTGACTCCATAACTGCAGGTTAAATCTTAGGTAAGTGAAAGCTGGAATTGGGCAAAACACCAAGGTTAATTTGCAAAAAAGTAACTTAAGATCTTTAATAGCCATTAGTGCTCTTAAAGGATTCTTATTTTATTTTTCAGGTGAAAGAAACATAAGTGTAAAAAGGATCTTCAGTTTTCTCTCTTTCCTAAAAATAAAATCAGTAATATTTGAGGAAAAAAAGACCCCAAAAACCAAACAATAAAAAACCCCACCATAACCAAAGCAAACAGTTCATCATTATTAAATTGTTCCAATATTTTTCCAATATACATTCCATGTTCTATCCACCTGCAGACATTTTTCATTATTTTTTTAAGAGTTGTTCATTAAAGGTAGTTATTGCTACTCTAAAGTAAACGCCAGCTGGGAACATGATATAACTAGTTCCTAGTAACGTAAGACATTATTCAGGCATTCCCATCTATGTGCTGCTAACTAAACAATCTCCATTTGAGCAGGCTAATGCATTAAAATGTAGAGACTAAGCAGTCCCTGGGCACTGCTAGTGTATATTTTAGGGCAGGAGGAAAATGGAAGGCAGCAGGGTTTTCAGAGAATGTAATCACAGGAGAAAATTATCACTGAATGTATTAGTCTAAAGCAACTGTATTGAGATAGCTGAAAAGCACCTCATAGAATGAAACAACATTGTCCCGTTGTCAGTCAGTTGCTCTTTAGGAAATGACCCTTTGGGATTTTCAAAAGTTTTGATAATCCAGAATTCTCAAAGCAATGTATGATCCTGTGTATCGCTGTTTAAAAAAAAAAAAAAAAAAAAAATTAAAAACCCACCTCAGGTTACAGGTTTTTTTTAATTAGCATTTTTTAATCAGCTTAGGTGCCTTAATGCTCCGAAATATGGAACGGTGTGGTCCGAGATACAGGCGCTTCTTACCAAGGAAGAACTTTGCTATCCTATTTATTATAAATTGGCTACTATGTACATATGAAGTTCAGGATTTGAGAGTTTATTCTATTTTTTGGGAACCTTTAGTTATTGACTTTAAATGGAATTAAGTCAATCCACTGTTATGTACATCTGAAAATCTTAGCTTTAGCGAATAGATCTACTAACCAAGGATAGCAGATTTCATCTGGGAACCCTTCTACCAGTGAGAGCAATCAGGACATTCAAAGTTTGGGGTTTTTGTTTTGTTTTGGTTGGTTGGTTGGGGTTTTTTGTCTATATTCCCCATGTGTTCAACTTTCTTATTTCTTTTAAAAAAGAAATCTGTACTCCCCCATAATATTTCTTTAAAGAATACAGTCTTCTTTAGAAGCCCAATAGAAACAGTTCAGCAAATAAATTTATACTGCTCAGTTTTTAACATCTTTGTAGTTAGTAAACTTTGGGACATATTCAGTTCCATGCTGCTTATGTACAATATATATGAAAATGATTCCTCCTCCCAAAAAAACCCATTACTGTGGGGGTCTAACTGTTGCCTCTTTATTTAGTAAAGTAATTGTATGTATTTCTGTTCGCACTCTTACGTCTACATACTACTCCCTTCGAATAAAATGGTTTGTGTCCAAAACATAGAGCTTTTTTCTATGCAAAAAACTGAGGGCCATCAGCTTATGCTGGGTGGTTGTTACTTTGTGCTGCTGGGGTGGAAATACAAAATGAAAACTTTTTTTTCTTTTTTTATTCTTTTGCCTTGAGGAACATTTTTCAGTTTTCAAACTGTTCATTTCCACTTTCTTCTTAAAGTTAATGAAAACTGCTTTTAAAACTACTGACAATGGAAACAGCATGGTGAAGACTATCCATGACATAAAAAAATAATTTTGTTGACCAGTAATGAGTAAATTTCATCCCAAAGAAAGCCTGCTTAGGGAAACAAAGATAAATGTACTTCTAACTAGAAAGGAGGCAAAATCCTAATGTAGCTTTTGAATAGTACTGACTCAAATGATGTGCACATCTGGGACATGACTCAGGCTCACCCTGAATTTAGCAAAAAAAGCCTTACAAAAATAAATTATATTCCTTGGTATTTCTATCTGGGAGAAGCCAAAATTTGCATGACTACAGCAAATCAGTTCAAGCTGCAGACACTGGTTTAGGTATGCTGAAACTTAGAGGGGCTGTAGTAGAAAGCAAGACAAGGTCGGCTAGTTTCCTACAGACTCTCTTCTTTGGAACACACTGAAGCCCATTATTGGCAAAACATCTACACTATCCCCACTGGTAAAACAATGCCAGCACAAGAGCCTGGTAGTATGAAATAGGCTTGGGTTGAATTCAGTCAAACCTCTATCTTCCAGTTACTTTCAGTGGTTTTTATATGTTGAGTTAGAAGATGAGGTGCCAAAAACCCTTACAATTCTAAATATTGCAAATATATAATTTTAATTTGTTTTAATTTTAATAATATAATGTTGAATATAGATTTTTTTTTTCTTTCTTGATCGACCTTTAGATATGCTGATAACTAGGTAGCAAAATAGGCCTTGTTGGTTTTTTCTTTCCCCCTTTGATTTATATTGATTTATCAGAACTCACTAGGGACTGAAAGACAAGAAAATGAAGATAAGGTTAAAGAAAGGTTAAGCACAGCATCAAAGCCTTTTTCACAAGCAAAAAGGTTTTATGTTCTTTAAAATCTCAGCTGCTTACCCTGTACATAATAATCACTATAATTAAGTGATTGTCTCCTGTTTAAAAAAAGTTGAAAATGACATAGAGGAATGATAAATCGTTAATTAATGATATGCTGTTCTGTTGCACTTCTGATTACACCTCCTGCTGGGCATGACTGGGCTATTTGCTTCTAATCTCTGCTGTGAATTCATTGAATTCCATGCCTTTCTGCTATCATGTTTTCACCCTTCCTGACTTTCCTGACTACCATATGGTACAGAGCCACTGTAAGTTCAGTTGATAATTTCATGGTGTCCGTGCTCTGGAGAAAAGATGCCAGTGATATCCAGTAGGCAGACTTAGACATGATTGTTCTGACATGGAAATACCTGAAATTGCCATGAGAATGATAAACTGGTTCCTAAAGGGTGGTTTAAAATGAAAATTACTGGTGGATATGGTGGAGTTCATCATGACCATGAAGAATTTATTACCTTAGCTTAAAGAAAGAGTTATTTTATCCTCCAACTTGTCTTTTTCACAGAAGACCCATTTAGGATGGGTAGCTTGAAAACAGAAGTTGGGAGGAAAAATACTTTTAAATTCCATATTAGAAGTATAGGGTAGGATATCTCATTTCACATATGGGTGTAAAAGGTCACAGTCTTAAAAAATGCATTTTTAGTAGTTCAAATTCAGAGTAATTCCATGGATAAACTCTACATTAATGCCAGTAAGACACCTGTTATTTGTCCGCTGGTTATTTTCTGTGGGTCTCTTTGTTATGTATTACTTCTTATTATTCTCTTTAACAGTTGGCTGTTATTTACCTTGACCTGGTCCTTTGAATTTAGAATGTATCTCACTCTGTCTCCTCCATAAGACTTCTAGCTGGCTGAGGAGAGGCACACTGGGATGCTAATATTACGAGTTTCTGCTTCAGCTAGGCTATATGTGGGCCGTTTATGGACTGAAGTATCACAGGTCAATTTTTAAGTCACTTGTTCACTGCGGTATGCACGGGGTCAGTGTAGCAGGGAATGATCTCATTTATTCTCTCCCTTGGCTGTTGCCCTTTGCCGCTATCACAGTTACAAAGGTGGCCACAGGAGAAAGGCATGTTCTATCTTTACTGTAGAAGATACTGTTTTCTGAGGATCTGCTTGCTCAGCAAAAAATTAAAAAGAAACAAACAATAACCCACCAAAAACCAGTTTCTATAGGAAAATGTGAAGGGACTTGAGGACTTTCTGAACCAAGAGTGGATGAGCTGAACTCTCTTAATTCCCAACACAGTCACTAAAACCCAGCAGGTTGGGAAGAACCTCTGGAGGTTTCCAGTCCGAACTCCTATTCAGAACAGGGTTTCTGGGGACTGCGTCATACTGCCTGCAGGGGATAGGTGTACAAGCTGTCACTGTTCCAGCCTAAGAATCCAAACATATTTTTGAAAAGTGGCTGCACTCGCTGTCAGGAGATAGAGATCATTTGAAAGAGGTTACAGTTAAGCTCTGCTTTGAGAAAGTGAGTCTAATCTTGTGTTTTCAACGACAATGCATTGCATATGGCTTATTGCTTTGCAATTTTCTCATTATTCCTGTTAGTGTAATGTAAACATAGGACTGACAGCTTTCTGTGACTTACCATGACTGGAAAATTGAGAAATGTTGCTTACAATTATGTCCTCCCACAGATGGAGAGCTGTACTCTGGCACAGCAGCAGACTTCATGGGCAGGGACTTTGCCATTTTCCGAACTCTGGGGCATCATCATCCAATCAGAACAGAGCAGCATGATTCCCGGTGGCTAAATGGTATGTAAAATGTACATTTATCCAGTTAAGTTCATCTAGCCATTAAAGGCTAGCACACAGCTTCGTTCCAACAACATCTGAGACTTATACACCCTTCTTTTATTTGGAGCAGAATTTTGTCTTAAACCAGTTAAACTAATCAAAAGTGATTTATAAAGAAGCATTTCTGGTTTAATTACACTGAGATTTGTGGAGTGTGATTAAATTTAAAACATATACACACGCTATGACTAATGCAGTCATGCCACAGGAGCAGATTGCTGTAGGGTGCAAGTTGGACAGAAGCTCAATAATTGTGGAGGCATCAGACACACGTCAACACGAAGTAGCTGCAGAGCCTTGGGCAGGACTGTGCTGTGTACAAGCTTTAATATTTGGCTGGATTAAAGGGAATCGACACTGGCTGCCAAAGTCCAGCAGAAGGTGCATCAGCAGAGCTTCCTGAGCAGGCCAGAGTTGTCAATAGTTTGGAAAAAGTGAAAAGAGTACTGAGTATGTCAGGTTTCAAAATATTCAGTAATTTTACAAGGCACAATACCTTATATTATTGTATGGGTATTACTAATCAGGCCTGTAGTTGGTTGTTTGTACATATGGTGGGAGAAGGATAATTTCAGAGAAAATCTGTGTTTGGCTTCATGTACCAAAATACTTAAAATGCACCTGAGTACTTTATCTAAGCTCTACTCAAGTCAAAATTCCAGTAACTTAAATGGAATTACACTTGGCTTTAGCTATAGAAGGATATGAGCATTTTGGGAATGAGATTTCAACATTTAAAGAAGCTGACATTTGATTTAAGTGAGCCAGTAATACGAACTGAAGTTACTCTGAGTTAATTTATATTTTAATTTTTGAAGAGTTGTCTAGCCACTTTTGCTGTACATACTGCTTGCATCTGCACTCCTGTTTTTGAATTCACAAAGTATTTTGTTCTCAGATATTTTTCACTCTTAGCCACATTATTTATGTCTGTGTTGAGGTCCAGGTTTTCTTATGTGGTTTTGCAATTTAGTGCAAATTGTTCATGCAAATTTTTAATGTGTAAGAGCAGACTGTGTTTTAACAACACAGTTTCTTATTAGATACAGTAAGGAACTTCTAGTATCGGACTGGTTATCATATTAGCTGTATATGCAATCCATAACCAAACCAATCCCTGACACAAAATTAAAACCACAAAGTCCTACTGCAGTTTGGATAAACAACTCTGTATATGGTATATGCATTCGATAGATATATCAGATAAATTTGTATATGAAAAGTTGTATGAATCTGATTTTTGTCCTGTTTAATTTTGTGATAATTCATGTGGACTACCGTGAGGTTAGACTCAGGTCTGTCACCTTTCAGTTCTACGGTCCATGCTTACATAGTAACCCATAACTATTGTTCATCAGTTTATGTTATTATAACAATAGGCAGAATTTCTGGACTTCAGGACACAGTAGAGTACAAGGGTTACAGATATAGCCATCCATCTTGGTACCTGTTAGAGTAATAATACGTTAAAGATAACACCCACTTTTATTATCATAGTCATGATGACATGAAGTCCAATCATGCAAGCAAAATCTGCTTTTGTGCAGTAGAATTGCACAATGACAGCTGAGTCAGGTGGATTTATGCAGTGGGAAAGTACAGCCATTGTCCACAGCCCCTGTACTTCATCGCTGAAAATGTGTCATTCCTTTGTGGATTTGGTTATCAGTCTTTCAGCACTAAATGTGAGAACTGCTTTTCCCAAATTAGCACTAAGGTTACATCTGACAGCGTGCAGAGACCACAACTACTTTGTGCAAGATGGGGAGGAGAAGACAGTTGCACATAAAGAACAGACGAACCTCAAGCTCTCTAGAATTTAGGTATCATCCAAAATGAGCATAAAGTAGGAAGGCAGCATTTATCGTAGCACACGGTGAAGACAATTTTTAACTCTAAGTGTAGTTCTTGTCCGTATTCCTGTATGAAAAGTTTCAAACTAATTTAAAAAAAAGGAAGAATCAAACTGAAGCCTTTAGAAATTATTCTTATTAGAGTCTATAATTTAACAGAGAATGATCCTTAAGTAAATTTTTTTAAATCAATCTCTCCATAGTTGGGCTTAAAATCTGCACTGCAATGTTCTTACTAAAGGCTCTAAGACTTTACTGTTAATTACCCAGTGATAAGGTCCTGGAAGCCTTTCCACAAAGTATTTCTAATTTCAGCATCTAACAGGAAATCCAAAAATGATAATTGTTTGGATTTGAAACTCTGCAGGCATGCCAGTTCTTTGATTAATCTTTTTTCTTTTGTCATTTGTCTCTTTTAAATGTAATTATAAAAGAAACTTTGTGTTTACACTTTTTTAATGTGGACATACTTTTAATGAAACAAGCTCTCATTGAAGGATGAGGTGTACTCTACTTTCTTAAAGATCTACATAAACTAGTTTTGAACCTTAAGTTTGCAGAGCTTTCTACATTTTTTCGTATAGACATGGATTGCTGTGTAGTGGTGGATTTGCTTTGTTAGTTGCCTTTAGTTGCCTTCTGCAATGCTCTTACCTCACATTAAAAATCACTTTTCTAATAGACAGAAACTGAAAGCTAGATAAGAATAGCAGCTGTGACCAAACTTACAAAGCAAAATCCTCATCACTGTGGAGTTTAATAGCTAGATGGTGAGGCATCCAGTCATAAGCCCTTGATGTTGTTTACTTTGTTCAGAACTTGAAACTGTTTTCCCCAAACTAAGGCTAAAGTCAGAGCTGACAGGGTGCAGAAAACAGCTATTTGGTACCAAAAATGGAGAGAAAATGACATTAAGAGCTGGCAAACTTTTCCCAGAATTTAAATATTATCCTGAACCCTGAACTGGTGTAAAAGTAGGACAGCATCGCACAGAGCAATTAAGTTTTTTGAATTTAAGTGTGACGACAGGGTTCCTACAGAGATCACACAGTACTTTTTGGAGATGCTCCACCTTTCATAAGAAGTTAAATGTTGCTGGGAAGAGGGCTTTGAACTGTGCCTGGCCCAAGGGAAGGTACTGACCAGCAGCTCTTAAAGACTTTTAAAAGACTTTAAAGATATTAAATGCTCACAGGCTTCTAAAGACATTTCATTTTGTATAAATAATTAAACAGTCACCAAGCCAAATAAAGCAAGGGAGACTGATTCTATAGCCGTGTAGTCGGGGAATTCATCTAGAAGGTAGGGAACCATGCATCAGTCACTGTAGCCATGTATATTTAATTACTGATACAGAGCTGGCCAGATGTAACATGGAGGCATTTGCAAAAACACAGTAAAATAAGTTGGTGCTTTGGGAAGTCATACTGGATATGAAAAGCTGCAGTTCAGTGCCCCAGACCGTATCATGTACTTTGTTATAAGCCATGTGCACGTTCACTCTGGACATTATTGGCTCCTCTGGTAAGCGCATGGAGTTTCTCTACTGAAAAAGCTTTGACAGTCTTAGTTGGACCCAATGAGGGTCAAAAATAGTTTTGAACTCAAAAAAAAAAAATCTTGAAATTGAACAAGCATCTCCTTTCCAGCTTTACTGTAAGGAGCAATGGTTTTGACGTTACACATATATCTTACAGACTCTTGCCTATAGGCAAAACCCATGTTTTCCTTTAAGTATACCATTGCCTCTTGTACTTCAGAGCCATCAGAAACTAGCGTTATTCCAAGAAAGTATAGATCAAATCTTGCTTCTGTGAACTGTTTCAGCAATTAAAAAAAATGAGTAGAAGTCCTGAGCAGGTTGAAGCAGCTTCCCCTGGTACCCAGGAGTTCCCTGGTGAACTACCCTCAGCGCTGGCTGTACAGTGGCCATGGCAGCATTCATGCAAGGGCTGAGGGCATGGCTGGAGGCAAGAAGGCAGAAACGGCAGTGCAGTGTACCAGAGCAAATGCTAAGCAATGCAAAAGCAATGTACTGAAGGCAGTTTTCAAGCTGAAGATTAGGGGAGTGGAAGGAAACCTTGGAGCCACTGTCATCTTCCCTGACCTGAGCACAGGGGATCTGGCCTTAAATTGTCAACATTTTGTAAAATGAATAACCATAAACATTTATTTTAAAAGCAAAACACAGTTGGGCTGCAGAAGATTTGAAAGGAAATGAAATCACAAAAGCTGCATTAAGATAGTGTTATGAATCTTGTTTGCACCCCAGAAAACTGAGGAAATACTGGCCTTACCCACTTTTACTAGACCTGGCATTAAGAGAGACTGTCAGTCTGGATTTCCAGTCTTGACTTGGAATTTCCTTGCTTTTTATGGGCTTAAACCAGCTCTATGATATTATTGTAGCATACTTTCCATGGCTTAGTTTTTAAAGTGGGGTAGTAACTGTGCTTAGCCTGCTGGGGTTATTGTCCTTGGTAATCTTTACTTTATGGTTACATAAACAGCTGAGAATTATAGAAGCTGAGCGACTGTTCAGTAAAAAAGAAAATGCCCTCTTAAATTTCACACGCTCCAAGGCAGGAAACATGGACTTGATACTCTCCTGGTATTCATACAGAACTTTAGCTATCACTTTATGTTGTTTCCGCTTACGACAGTTTGTAGGATGTCCCAGCACTGGCAACAAATGCACATAATTTTGAATAAGTAGAGGAATATGTCAAGAGAAAGACAAGACTGCAACTAGTATATAGGATTTTTGCCTCTCTAATAAAATGTATTAAATGTGCCAAGATGTTTAGAAATTAATATTTGTTCTCTTGCAACTACTTCTGTTGAGACTTGGATGTGTTCATTTTGCTGCATCCTTGAATCTGTAATTTGTCTTTGGTCACCCACACCAATCCCTTTTCCCACCTACACATACCCACTGACAACTCCCTCTTCTGTGCCACTCCCTTGTCCCTGAATGCCTTCCTAGTTTCCCACTTTCCACCACACCTCCTACACATTCCCAGTCCAGATGTTCAGAAGGCACTAAAATACATGCCACCAGAGGTAAGCAGGTGTGGAAAATGGCTGACCTGCAGCATCGACAGG